ATTGTGTTTACTGACTGAAGACAGCCGAGTCATCCAACCTTTGCTGCTCTTTATCTTTGCATTCCTGACACAGGATCCCTGACACTACAAACTATGGTAATAAGTATTTTGGGATTCTATCTTGGCTTGTACATTTAATAGTGTCTACCACAAACTTTAAACTTAACTCAAAAATGAAGGATTTATGGACATAGGTTTATATGGACTTTTGCCCTTGTGAGGAACATGCCCTCAAAGTTTATAAAAGTATTTTTGACACACCATATATAAATATACATAATGCACACACAAGGTCTGTCTGGAAAGTAACAAGACTGGTGTTAAACAATTTATTTCAATTCTAAACAAAAAAAAAATATACATGGTTTTTCCTTTCAAAGTACCCCCCCCCTACTCGAGCACTTTTCAATCATTCTCTGCACTGCTGGAAGGATTCTTCTTGGATGCCCTTCAGCTGCATCGTTATGGCCCTCTTGATGGTGACCACACCTTCAAAACAAGTCCCTTTGATGATCACCTTGAGCTGGGAGAAAAGAAAATGTCACACAGGTGAATAGGGAGGCTGTTCCAGTACAGCGTTGTTCTTCTCAGCTGGGAACAGCCGGATGTTCAGAGCGCTGTGAGCAGGTGCATTGTTGTGGTGAAGCAGCCACAATTTGTCCTGCCACAGAAAAAAATGCAATGGATGCAGAAAGCTAAGTTAACACTTATATACTCTCCAAGAGCTCATGTTAGATGATTACACAATCTGCATATCCTTCTTTCGCATTTAGCTCACACAGCACATCCAGTATGGTTATTTTTCAGACAGACCTCTCCAAGGTCCACTAGAGACAATCATAATAGCACCTTATCATAATGGAAGGAAGGACTAGAATAACCTAAAGAAATTAAATCCAAAACCACTTCATAGCAATAACAAGAAGATTGTTACCGTACAGTCTCAGTATGAAAAAAAACAGAGTAACTGTGCCAGTAAAATTTTAAGATACAAAAGAATAAAACTCTGGATGACTTTTAGGACTGAAACAGTTGTGATCTTATTGTTTTCCGTCTTTGTCTTATTTTACAAGCATATGATTGACAACTGGGATTGTGTGTGCATGAAACTCGGGTTATGACTAGAGCCATCCTTTCATAGAATTTAATGTTTTTGCTCAATCTAGGCTTTAAGCAATTTACTGAGTAAAATAAGTTTACCTTAGTCATTTTTTCAGTATTGGAGGTTCTATTCAAGACTTTATCTAGATGAGAGTTTTAGGTTTTGGCAAGTTGTCTGTTGGTTCCATCAAGAATTTTTGTTTTTCTTTAACACACACATGTGTGTATGAATTTAGATCAAATATACAGGGTGTCTCAAAATAATGTATACACTCTTTAAATATTAAGAGTTAATAATACATTACCGTGATGTGAGAACTTATATGGATGAAAATCTGCAAAACAGATGGATTGGAAGAAGAGGGACAGTTGAATACCCACGTAGATCACCAGATTTGAAACCCTTGGATTTCTTTTTGTTGGGGTTTCTAAAAGACAAAATTTACAGCAGGAAACTTGAAACAGTTGCTGAAATGAGAGTAGCAATTGAAGAAGAATGTGCTCAAATACTAGAGGAAATGATATTGGACGTTTGTAGGTCTATTTCTTCAAGATATGAAAAGTGTATTGAACAGAGCGGCAACCAGTTTGAGAACTTGATGTGAACTCATCATTATATGAACATTCTGCCATTGCCCCAGGTCGCTTTTATCTTATTAAAGTTAATTTTCTATATTTTTTTTTTTTTTACTCTCAAATTCTTTAAATGTGTATTCTTTCTCTTGTATTAATCTTATTTACAAGTCAAAATACATAAATTGAATAAGTTATAATGATTCAAAGAGTGTATACATTATTTTGGGACACCCTGTAGATTGAAATATGACAGAATGATAAGATACAGATTATAAACAAACTAGAATTATTTATACACTTGCATATTTTATATTTGTGGTTTTTCAGTACAGCTTGGAATTCATTGATTTCTTGAAACTTTGAATGAACGCATCATCTCTCGTTGAATTCAGAAGCACATAAATTATACTAAGGTTTACTTAACAAGTCAAATGTACATGAAACATGATTAACCAATGAAAATCAGACAACACAAAAGTATGGTGCTACACACTTTGTGTAGCACCACTATAATCAAATCGTATGTGCTGGATGGATGTTGGATTTAACGGCATGTCAACTCCTATTTGCGTATGTGCTGGTGTCCAACTGTCGGTTCCTAGAAACTGAGCTGCTTGACCCTCATACGTTGAATACAACAGGAGAGTTCACCACCATATATATATATTATATATATATACACACACACACACACACACACACACACACAAATCCCTTGATTACTGTGTTTTCGATTAGTACGATAACATTTTTTTATACCAAAATTCAATTAGTGCATGCATAATACTAGATTAGTGTGGTAAAACATTCTTCAATTTAACCACAGTAGTTGAAAATTGATTTTTTATGGTTAACAATTAATTAAAAATTTTCTAAAATTTAAAAATGGAAAACTATTTTGTTTATGTCTATATTTCTGAGATGTGGTATTATGTACATTATTTACATTATCTGGACTATTGTCCTCAAGGACACATGGCACAGTGGATAAAGGCGTTGGTTAGATCCAGTGACAAGACCCAAAGAGTAGGAGTTCAATAATTCAGTGGAGAACTTTCAGAAGGAAAATTAACAGGAGATAACTGATAGCTGACATCCATCAAACATGGCACATGGAACTAGAACAGTCTACCCCAGTGAGCGAAATAAAGGGTTCAGTTCAACATTCCAACCACCTGAAGAAAGCCAGAGCGTACAACAGGCGAAACATTATGATAAATATGGCGACAAAGATGAGGACAATAGTCCGAATAATGTATTTTGTTTATATTTGATTAATGCATATCTTTTTATATATACATTAGCCACACTAATCGAGGGATTATATATATATATATATATATATATATATATATATATATATATATATATATATATTTCTGAGATGAGGTATTATGTACAGTATTTACATTAGTCGGACTATTGTCGTCATCTTTGTCACCATATCTGTCACAACGTTTACGACCGTTATGCGCTCCGGCCTTCTTCAGGTGGAACTAGAACAGTCTACCCCAGTGATCGAAATAAAAAGGTTCAGTTCGAAATTCAAACCACCTGAAGAAGGCCTGAGCGCATAACAGCCAAAACGTTGACAGATATGGCGACAAAGATGAGGACAATAGTCCGACTAATGTAAATACTATATATATATATATATATATATATATATATATATATATATATATATATATATATATATATATGTTGTAAAGGCATATAGAGAGGGAGCAAGCGTTGCACATTATGAGAATATGTAGGATTGATAATGATTGAGGTTTAAACTGTAGTCATCAGGAAAGCATTCCTGATGCAGTCTGTTTGGCACCAAAAAAGTTCTGATGGAAGAGGCAGAGTGGAACTTGATCCTAACCAATGGAATATGAAGAGAATGGGTCGACTGTCTATGTAGCATGTCAGGTTCTAGCTGTGAAGGTCTGAACTGGTAGTTTGTTGTTTTGTTTTGTTTTTTTTATGGCTTACCCTGCTTTCATGGGTTATTTAAAGCTAAAACTTATTCCTGATTGTAGGAGGCCATTCACATTATCAAGTGTTTCCAAGTGTTCTCCCCCCCCCCCCAACTAAGTATTGATATTGTCTTACTTTGGGGATCAAACAAGAGCTAGTGTTTTCAGCATGATTTGATTGTAAGCCTCAACTAGTGGAACCAAGGAATGTGATTTGCTCAAAATGTCTGCCAGGAAAATGCTAGCAAGAAGCTAACAACTTGGTATTATTTGCCTGGGGGTGGTGATCCTAATGTACAGCTTTGTTAGGAAAATGCCTGAAAACCATACCCCAAGCCTTGTTAGTGAAATCGGGTAGAAGAAACTGTATGCAATCCTTGTGCTAACATGATTTAACAAGTCATTGTGACCAAGCGTTTGAGAATACTGGCTTTGTCCATGACAGATTATGCACTCACTCCTAGAAACTGTTAACTACAGTCTGCTCTGCATAGTTTGGTTTGTTTTACAGCATGTCAACCTCAATGAGTTATTTAAAGCTGACAAGATTTTTACTGCTGTTTTTTTTTTTTTTTTTCCAAAAATGTAATGCTGGTACTAATTTTTTTTTTTTTTATGTATTGTTGTTAATATTTTCTTTTTCAAAAATGTACTGCTGGTAATAATTTCTCAAAAAAAAATATTGCTGGTATTAAAACCTATTTTTATACTTTCATAGTGTTTTGAGGCAGGAATTAACTATTTGCCCATAGCTGGAACCCTAACAGGTGCTACCATCCCGGGTCAGGATGAACCTGGGAACACCAGCAATTAAGAGATGAACATAGTTTATCATCTTACCTAGGATACAGATGTAGTTTGTCATACCCAGGACACCTGCTCAGCATAGTTGCATTATAAACCACAAGTTGGCTCTGGTATCAGTGGGTGCTGAACACAAATGTGCCTGAATAGGTGCCTGCAACAGGGATTGGTTAGAAGAAAGGAGTAGCCAGCCAGCATGTGTGTGCACATGACTTGTTGCTATTAATTAGGTCATAGCAAATAATGATGAATATATAAATGAATATAATTGTACTTCACTTTTTGAAGGATTAAGTGATTCATTTTTTACGGCTTATCAGCCCTTTGCAGGTTATTTAAAACCAGGAAATATTTTTTTTTTTAGATCATAAGAATATTTGCAGTGAGATAATTTAGCGATACAAGTCTTAGCTGGGAGAAGAAGAGATGTACTCATACCTTTTCCAAGAGCATTTGCACATAAGTGAATATAATGAACCCAACCGGAATTGGAACTTGGCACTCTGATTAACAATTTCAAGCCATTATCCATTGCATCACTTATGCATACAAAGCTTACACCAATTTGTATTCCCAAGTGGTCACCCATCTAGGTACTGGCCAAGCTTGACAATGCTTAACTTCAGTGATCATACAGGAATCAGTGTTTCAACATGATGTGGCTATAAGCAAAAATTAAGTTGATAAACACAAACGAAAATTATTTATATTTTGATCTACACACCTTTATTAGTATAGTGAATGCAATCCTCACTATATTACCTATTCTGGTAGCTGTGTACATGTATGTCACACATATACTTATAAATACTTTATTAACTTTATTAATCTGGCAGCAAGACCTCTGACCAGGAGGATTTGAGGAGCATGTAACCACCTCTTAATTTTTGTTGCTTCCAGGTTTACCCTGGCCCAGGGTGGTAGCACCTGTTAGGGTCCCAGATATGGGTAAATAATGAACCCCCCCCCCAAAGTAAAACTGGAACACTATGATGATATAAAAATACATTTTTATAGTGAAAATACCAGCAATATATTTTCAGAGTAAATCCACCAATACACTTTTGTATTAAAAAAAAATACCAGTAATACATTTTTGTATCCAATGGTGAAAGCAGAATAACATATTACTTCCAAGCTCCAAAGAAAAATTTTAGATTTAAATGACCCATAAGGAGTTGATATGCCATTAAACAAGCTATAACATTATTCAACAGTCCAAGTTTTATCAGCAATTTTAATTTAAATTTTATTAAATATCTTAATTTAAATTCTAGCAAATATTTTTCATTTGGGGAGTCTATGAAGAATTTTTTTCTAATTTGCATAAATAGAATTTGAATCAGATACAGAATTCTATAAAAATCTAGTCTATGAAACACCAACATCCAAGACATTTTTCAGTTAAGTTTCATGGCTTAAACATAACTGAATTATTACAAATAGGTTTCTTCCTTTTAATGACACATTTTTTCTTTGTTTATTTTGAAGAAAAAAAAATCATATCGTGTCACCTGATCTGTTAACTTAATAACAACAACATTCTCAGATAATAAACATTTTGACAAGCATTCATTAATTACAAATTATTCATATTATCTTATTTACAAATATCAATCTTCCAAATTCTGGTGTTGCAGAATTTCTAAATGGATTATGGACAATAAAAAAATAAAAAAAATAAAAAAATAAAAAAAAATAAAAATCAGGGAAAAGAAAAAAAAAGTTGAAAATTAAAAAAAAAAAAAAGAATTAGGGGTGGAGGAAAAAAAAAAAAAAAAAAAAAAAAAAACTTGATTGGTACCAAAGATGTCTGAAGTATGATTACAATGATAAGACAAACAGGAGAATTTTTCAGACCACAGTTGTGGTCAAATCTAGTCTGTCCAGTGCATCATTGAGGGAATCTGGAAGATGGTCACTGACCATACTGGAACTGATAAGAATTTCTTGAAACTGGTCAGGAGTCAACCATTTCATGCTGCAAGTCTCTGAGGAACATGAACAAATTCCAAAACGCCTGAAATTAAAAATAATAAAAAAAATTAAAAAAAAAAAGATACAGAAATCTTGGAAAAATTTGGGTAACATTGTTTTTTCCATTATCAATGTTATTATTGATGAAATATTTTCTATTTTCTTTAAATGCATATCCATTGTGATCATGACTCTCCACGGACTCAGGTCCTTTATTATTTGGGAATTGCCATGACTTCTTGAGAAATATATTGGAGTCGTTTCTTGTTGTCTACTCTATGATTTTGAATTCATAATAATCCTCTTAGACTAGCTGCTCCCCAAGGCTCAAGTATACTATTTAACCCATAGGTGGGGGTGAGAAAAGAAGGAATACAACAAACAAGACCAAATATACTAATCATAGTTAAGCACAAGAGAAAATTTTTGTGAAAATAAAGTGGAGAAAAATTGTTATACCAATCATGCAATATTTTTTAAAAACTAAATTTCAAGTACCACTTAAGGTAAAAAGTCACTGAGGATAAGGAGAATAGAGGATGGATTATCCTTGAACAGTATAATCTTAATCTCTTCAAGATTAAGATTATACTGTTCAAGGATTCAGCAATTTAGAAGTTACTGTCTGAATTTCTAGGATTAGGAGTTATTATCTACACTATTTAAATTCAGACTATTGTCCTCATCTTTGTTGTTGTTATCACAATGTTTCATCTGTTGTGCCATCACACTTTTATCAGGTGTATATCAATTCAGCTAAGGCAAGAGTCAAAACTTTTTTAACCAGAGACCCCTTTTTGTTTATCTTGCTTCCCTAGCGACTCCAATTTAAAATATCTTTAAACCTTAAAACTCTCACTGACATTGGCAATCAAAATGTTAATTAAAATGTATGAAAAGTTAAGAAATTCAGATCAGATTCAGAATTTCACCCAAAGATATATTTACAAAAATATATTAAATAATCCCAATGAATCAAGTAAATAATATATTAAGTACACCAAGCCTAAATACAACCGATGCTAGTGAACAGAAATGCATAAATGCTACTAATATACAACTGCACAACTGTACTAATTAATTAAACAAATATTGCATCATAGTTGATGCAATCAGGCCAAATGACCTTCAGAATGATAAACTATTTTACAGTAAGAGGTTGAAAAAAAGAAAAAAAAAAAAAAAAAAAAAGAGCAAGCAATGCTCAATGTAGCATTAAATAAGTCATTAAAATAAGTTAAAAGCTATTTTAGATTAACTATGGCTTTTGATTCTGCTGATCATCAAAGCTCAGTGCCTTTCTTTCATCTGCACTGAAGAATATAACATACATGTAAATTAACTAAAATTTAGCTCAGCATTATTTGCACACCAACCACCACTGATACCCTGGAACTCCTCACTGACTCCTAAGGGGTCTCTCAGACCCCTTTGATGATCCCTGAGGTAACCTATAGGGAATTCCAAATTGAACTCTTTATTTAATGTATAGGGATAGACTGTTCTCATTCCACTCCCATGTCTCGGGATATTTCATCTACTTCTTATTTTTAGTTCTGCTCAGTTATTGCTCACCATGTTCCCACCAAATCCAAGTACATACTGCCTGGACCAGAGATTGAACTCAAAATTACCATGTCACCAAATTCATACTGCTTTAATTCCCTAGGCTATTGTCTATGAGACAATCACGTAGAGTAAAGAATCTAGAAGTCCATTCCACAAAGTAGCAGTTCTTGGGGAAAAAGTTTGGAATATGGAGGAAATGAGGGTGATTCAACTCTGTAGAAGTAGCAGAGTGTGTCCTAGTTGTAAAGGTCTGAACATGTGGAACTGACAAATGGAGCTAATCTCAATATTTGGCCAAGGAAATAGTGATAGAGTAGCAAAAGATTTGCATCTGTGGAAAGAATATTTATTTTGTAAAATTACAAAATTGTGGCACATGGCCAAAGGGGAGGAAAAGGAAGGGGGCTGGTCTTCACTAGCTATCTTACTCCTTGTTAAATCCACTCACAACCTATTCATTCATTCATTACAATTTACTCATTCATCAAAAGAATTTATTCATCACCACTCAATCCTGCATACACCAAAATACTGTATATTTACAGGGGACCTACAAAAAACCTCAGGAGATAAAAATCTATCAGTGATTTTTTTTTTTTTTTTTAAGAAAAAAAAAAAAAACAAATATAAAAATTTCATGATTAATGAAATAATGGGGAGTAGATGAAACCCAAAAACAAACTTAAAATTGTAATTCAAAATAAAATCAAAAACAATATTAGTAGGACCCATCCATCCCTCAAAATAAGAGAGGGTCACTGTATTCTACTGCTAGACAGAATCAAGCAGCACACTTACCAATTAAATGGGGAGGGTAAAAAAATAAATGACAAAATGGGAAAAATCAAAGGCTGACCCAGCCAAGATTGAAAAAAAGGGGACAAAATTTAAACTAAGTAGATTGGGAATCTCGACATGGGTCATAACAGAAGAGTGAGCCTGGAACAACACTTACTCACATGAACTAAGAAAACAAAATAGTGTTTGACTTAACCAGGGGAGGGTTCACAGGAAACCGCCCCATTGCACTTAAGGGGACTTTAAAAAAAAAAAAAAAAAAAAAAAAAAAATCAAGGCTAGCCCCATCCTCACAAACCAGGCTCACCTAAGTCACCAACCTTTCACTCAAATCTATCAAAATCAAACACTTTCGATCCAATCTCATTTTTACACTAGTGCATCTGTGGGAAAGAGATGGCAGTAGTCTTCCCCTCACAAGACAGCATAAATGATTTTGAGCTCTTATCAAGGCAGAAAAAAGTGAAATGGAAAATGTCCATACTACATTCAGCCTGTGAATGTTGTCCAAATCCTTCAAAGTTCTCAACAAGCCTTTATATATGTACATAATTAAACATAAAAAACAGACATTTTGTGTTTGTTTATACCAACATCAATAATGTTGATTATGATGATTGTAAGCATTTCCAGTCCCACTAGGGAATGTTAGGAGCATACGGATCGAGCAACAATTTGAATAAAACAGTTCTTGAGTTTAGCACGTCTCATGTCATGTTCGTGTTGCTTCAGCTTTTCAGCGACCAGTCTCATAATTTATCTTTCTACCCTACACCCAGTGAAATGGTGTTGATTAATTTTAATAATCAACATTTTCCAAGTTACGAATAATCCTTCGAAGACAAAGAGGAAATTCATCAGAAATTGTTCAAAGTTTATTTCAGTAGAAAATTACAAGAAATTTTGATGAAGTCATCAGCCTCCTATTATTTATGATTTGGAAAAGTTAATTAAAAATTAAAATAATTGACAAAAAAGTGTCACCTCTAAGTGTTGACTTCTATGTTCACTTTTATATTTACACACGCTCTGATATTGAGCACTTTATCCCATAAATATAGCACACCTTAAGACTATATTTCTTCATATATTATATATATATTATAAATTAATTGATTTAAAATATGGTTTTTTTCGCTACACAGTTCTAACCATGTTTCAAAAATGGAAGCTAAAGTCCCGAATTTAATTTTGTGATTAAATTAAAGACATTAGTTCCATTTCATCCTCAAGCGAATTTTGAAGTAACTTTTTAAAATTACTGGGTTTTAAATACACAGCTAAAACAAAATTCATGTTTCCAAAGTTACAGAAAACCATATTTTAAATCAATTAATTTATAATATTAATGCTCTGTAAATTTACATTGAGCACTATTTTGTAAAAATAAAAATATCTATAAGAACACCGGATTATATATCTTGCTGTTCTTTCTTTTTATCTATATACATATACATATATATTTTGCACAGTAGACCACCCTCCTCCTAACATATTTTTAATAAGTTTACACTATCCTGGTAAAGGTTTACTATGGTCCTATATCAAATAAAGATCAATTTCTGAAGGTTATGACTTACTTGTATTCATTCTTCTCCTCAGTAACATATAGCACAACACCAGGAGGATAAAGTTGTTCCTGTTGAAGAGCAGGTCTTTCAGCATCAATTATATCTTTCATCTTTCTCACAAATTTTGAAGTTTCATTACCACATAATAATCTGTTGGCCATGATTTTATACTGAAATAACAAAAAACAAAATGCATATTTATGAATTTTTAAAATAATTTTTTGACTAGATCTTCATATTTTTATTGCTCGTTTACACCGAGAAAGTATTGCTCGTTTACACTGAAAAGCATTGCTTGTTTACACCTAATAATAGTAGATGTAATAGTCTTGAACTGTCTGAATTTCCAAGTTGAAGTGTTGTCATCATTAATTTTTGACTAGTTTTTCTTCCATTTTTACTGCTTTTAATCAATATTGTTTAATCATTATAGAAATGAACATAACCTGACCATTTATATACAGGGTGTCACAAAAAATTGACATCATTATGTAAGCTAATAACACAGTAAATTCTCACTCAAATGATTTTAAAAAAATATTTAAAAACTAAGTTGACTGTGTGGATTTATCTCAATGAATGGAAGATGGATTGGGCATGCCAGTGATAATGACAATGTGCTGTTGAAATGGCCACCATATTCACCTGACTTGACACCTTGTGATTTTGTCCTATGGGGCTATGTGGAAGGACAGGTTTGTATTCCTCCTCTTCCTACAAACCTAGAGGAACTTCAGCATAGGATGAATGAAGTGCTGGAAAATGTTACGCAAGACATGCTACAGCGCATTTGGCAGGAGCTGGACTACTGATTTGACATGTGTCATGTCATAGGTGGGGTGCATATGGAACATTTGTGATGCTTTATGAAATTGATTATAAAATCTACATCCCTTTGAATCTCTTGTTCAAATTTTGATAAAGAAATCTTTTATTGTTCAACATGATGCCAATTTAATTTTGTTTGCCTGGTAGTTACTCAGATAGTCACATTTTAAATGATCTAATTTTATGGGGAAAGGTAAATATTATTACTATGAACTTTATTTTTAGTGGCTATATGCATTTGATTTACTGTTTTTTTTTTGTTTTTTTTTCTTAAGTGAAATAACAACAATCCGAGATTGAGAAGTAAAACTATAAGAAAAATTGTCCCTGGAGTATTGAAGAAGGATACAGAATTGAACCTGTATCCTTCTTCCACAATGGAAACTAATCATATAGCCAAAGTGTACCACACATACAGTCGTGTATATATACACAGTTGATTTCTGGCTTAAATAAAAATGTTGAAAATAAAACGAAAAAATATTGCGCAAGGGAAATAATTCAGCCTTAAATTTACATTAACGTTTTTAAGTCCAATAGCGGTTATGCCCCTTGAAATAAATAAAAAACCCGCTTACATATGGATGGGATATATTTCACCTCATGCAAGGCAATAAAGCCACTAAGACTCAAGGGATTACTGAGTGTTAGAGAATATGAGAGAAAAAATTTTAAAAGAACATTATTAAGGAAAGAGAACTATAAAGGAACAGGAATTAAGACAAAAGGTAACGATTGATATTTAATTTTTTGAAGATCAAAGTTGACGGGGAAGCAAGATACCGGAAAAGAATTATACATGCAAGATTGTAATAGAAGAAACTATTAGCACAGAACTTGAGGTTATATCTAACCATTTCAACTGATAAGATCTGAGAATATATCACCAAGCTTAAATTCATAAAGTCTAGGTACCATAGTGGAAACTTCAACAGAACAATTACTATAAAAGTATTTATAGAAAAGGCACCGGGAAGCTACATTATTACAGTGGTGGGAAAGTGACTGAAGCCAAGATGCCAGGTTAGGACCAATAACATGGCAAATTCTTTGGATTTTATCTAGAATTTATAAAAATATAGCAAGAGCACCAGAGCTGATGTGACAGCAATATACAAAGCAAGGATGAATGGTGTTTTATATATGTCATCCACAAACAGATTGTTTCACTGTATCACAGCTTATATATATATATATATATATATATATATATATATATATATATATATATATATATGTGTGTGTGTGTGTGTGTGTGTGTGGCATAAATATTTATCCATTATTTAAACAAAATGAAACATACTTTATAAAAATAAAGTCAAATTTTGCATCAGGCTCCTAACATTCTTTCGTCTTATTGTTTACAGTTCAATTAAAAATGGCAGCTCAAACAAAACATCAATTTGTCAAATTCAAGATGCTTAGTATGAAGAATTGTGTGATGAAACAGTTTGTAATGTTTGCAGAAAAATGCCTTTATTGTGTGGAAAAAGTTTCCTGAGGAGTAAACAACCTCAGCAAATCCAATTGCAGGAAGAAACCTTTCAGTTTGAACCTGGATATAGTCATTGAAGCTGTCAAGAAGAGGTGAAGAGATATCCACAAAGCAGCAGCATAAGGAAGTTGGCAAAAGAACTGGATATTTGAGATTGGTCACCAAGGAGGATTGTGAAAGAGGATTTAGAGCTAAAACTGCTCTCAAGCAAAAGCAGCTTAGCTGGGGAAGAAAATGGTGGTCGACAGTTAAATCTCCATCTCCACACACATATATATATATATATATATATATATATATATATATATATATATATATATATAATAAAAAATGACAATAGGAAAACTGGTAATTGCTCAGCAATTACCAGTTTTCCTATTGTCATTTTTATTCATAAATATTGTCTTCTCTAGTGGTTAAATCAGAGAAATTTTCATATATATATATATATATATATTTGGATGTTATTAATTAATAAATTTTCATATATATATATATATATATATATATATATATATATATATATATATATATATTTTTGGTTATTAAGTTGGTCATGAATAAGAAAATCTCAAATTGTTCTAAGCCCAAGCCGAGTTTGGCTTTCAAATACCTTGTTTATTTGCGTTTAAATTAAATTAATAATAAAATTTACCAAACATATTAGCTCAGCAGTTAAAAATTGCTATTTTTCTGCCAATGTGCATGTTGTTTTCTCTACCAGGTCTCCTTGGGTGCCTGCTCGAAAGGACATTCTACCTCCCCACTACATTAACAATGTGATATACCAATTTTGATGTTGTTGTAGAGCTGACAACATAGGTAGAATCACCTTACAGTTAGATGCACAAATAAATCAACACATATGCGGAAAAATTAGGAATGGTTTATTCCAATCTAGTTACAAGATCAACAGCACATGTGGCTCCGCCATCACTGAGCACCTTATAAATAATCCAAGCTGCACCACCAATTTCAGCATTGACTCATTCTCCATCCTTAGTCATGCTCATTCTTTATTACATTTGAAAGCATTGGAAACGATCTATGTCAGGTCCAAACAGCCCTCCCTCTGTAAACAGAGGGGATGTCTGTTAGGGCTTGACATTATTTCCATCTGATTGTTCTGCCTTTATTTCATTACATGCTTCTTATGTTTTATATTTTATATCATAATATTTAGTCTTCTCATGATTTCAGCTCTGTTGAGTGAGGGCGAAACCAGTCGGCTGGTTAATTTATTTTTATTTTTTTTAAATCATGAATGATAAAGCTTGTCTTGCCATTTTTATTTTCATAATAAAATTCTGTACCCCTAAGAAAATAATGTGGGAAAACATTTATAAAGTTACTCTTCTATCATATATATATATATATATATATATATATATATATATATATATACACACACACACACTTTAAAAATTAGGAGACCAGTTGAATCTGCTACATTAGTTTCAATCTTACAGCACTCTCAGGCAATTTTTATCAATTGCCCTCCAGATGTTTTTTTTTTTTTTTCAAAAAACAAAAAAAAAAAAAAAAAAAAACACTAATGAATGGGATATTATTTAAAAAAATAGATAAACAAGTGCATGATGTCAGGTGTGGTAGAAAGAGAGGAGGATGTGAAGAAGGAAGAAGGGGGAAGAGAAGAAAAACAAGGGTATTATAAATGTATCAGTGTAGGGCGTTAATATAAATTTAATTTTTTTTTTTAACACTTAAGGAAAAGTAACAAAATATTTTTTTCATTAAATAAATTATAAAATATTTCACATATGTATAAATTATAGTAGACTGTTTTGTTTTCTCTTGATACCGCTATTATTTTAACGATCTTCACTCCTTGGCAATATTTATTATTTTAAAAAGCAATGATTAGAATTGTAATAAACATATGAAACTGAATTTATACAGTGTGAGAATTTACAAGAAAAATATTAAATTCTATCAGATTGTTTATTTACAAGAATAATTTTATATTTACAACATTCTAGAAAGTAATACAATTAAAAATAATGCCATATTTATTATTTACCAATTTATAAATAAATATGAAAACAATTTTTATTCATAAATTTATAAACATCTACTAAATTATTAAAACATGTGAACCAACTATAAGGAAATCCATATTCTTGGTCATTTCATAAAGTTCGAATCGATTAGCAACTGCCCAACATTTTGCTAACGCAAACGATCTAATAAATATTTTTTTGTTGTCAATTCTCAAGAAAAAAAGAAAATGTATAAATTTACTTTCATATGTTTAGGTTTCATTAAAATTCTAACCATTGCTTTATTAAAAAATAAACATTGTCAAGGATGGAAGATAGTTAAAATAATAATTTCAAGGGAAAAACCATTCTTTTGACACTTGTTTTATTTCAGGTCTAATTTTACCCAAAAAACAATGCAAACATACAGTTACAACATTACTAATAAAAGCATTTTTAATAATGGTTTGTAAAGTACTCAGACTTTGAATGATTTGCATTCAAATTTTCATTGCAAATAAGGAAAATGGGCCAAAATATAGAAAAAAAAATTAACAGTATTTAATCAAAGTTTAAACAAAAAAAAATACCCAGTACATCATATTGGAAAGATATAATATACATATTCGTATATGGTTGGTAGAACATTTATTCAGAGAGATAACAAAAGGACAAAGCTTAGTAAGAACTAAAAGGGCAGGAAGTTATGTGCTGAAGAGACAACACATAGAAGATAACAGACTAATAGTGAATAAATGAATCAAAAAAATTGGGGGAAAAATAAATAATGCTTTATGTGATTCAGCCTTCAAAATGACTTCAGGCTAATTATGGTTTTATCAACATTAGAGGCAGCTTCAGCCCACACTGCAAGTTGCTACAAAAAAAATATTAACCTGAAAACTAAGTCACATTTTTAGTCTCATCAGAATGAGATTTTCAAATGAATGCCAGTTACGTCAACCTCATTCAGAAATACATGTCAGCTGTAAATGACTGGTTCCTCAGATCAATTGTTAAAAATGACTTCAAGCAAGGAGCATCCTTCTTCAAACCTCATGGACTGGAGTTACAGAATCACAAAGAAAGAACTGTATGAGATAACAGAAACCCCATCAGTTGAGAACTAGCAAGGGGTAAAATGGATAGCACATATAACTCAAAAAGAAAATAATGACACAATCAAGACGTTGACATTGTATGCTATTTCAATGAAGCCTGTAGGTCTTAGCAAGGAGCATCCTTCTTCAAACCTCATGGACTGGGGTTACAGAATCACTAACAAAAGAATTGTACCAAATAACCAAAACCACATCACTTGAGGGCTTTCAATGGCTGCAACAACTAAAAAGGGAAACACATGTAACTCAAAAAGAGAATATTGACCTAATCAAGATGTTAATTTTCCACAATACCTTAAACAAGGAAGGAAACTCCCATTAATACTAGAATGTGTGATAATTACTGGACGATTTTTCCTGAAAAAACTTTTTAAGACTGTTTTAAAAATTGTTTTTCTGACTGCTCGGTCAATGAATACCAAATGTTTCATCATAAGGAAATGGTGAATATTACTATTATATAAGACTATCAATAAAGTCATTATCGCAGGTGAAACAGATGTGAACAATAGTTCAAATAAGAAATAAAAAAGTCAAGAAAAACAAAATTGGGTTCCACAGCATTTAAAACACTTGGCTCTTTTGTTCAACACAGAAAAAGACATTTTTCATTCAAAACGGTTTATATTCATATTGTACTAATGCCCTTCAGAAAAGCATGAGCCCACTTCTCCCTGTATTAATTCCCATCACCAGATATCTTGATAGGAAGTCATTACCTTTATGTTAATGAAAAGGAGTGACCAGGTTTAAAAAAAAAAAAGCCTAACTTCAGACTCAGAAAAAAAATAAATAAATAAAAAATAAAATAATAAGGTTAACTCACCTTAGGCAATGGACATGCCTTTATGAAAGCAGTGATTTCATATTTAAGTCTTTCAATGTTACGCAGACTTAATCTGGGAATAATGTCATCTCCAAAGAAAGCAGAGACGATAAAGGTTTTGCTGTATTCACTTGAAACACATCTGCAAAATGGTGAAAACAAAATATCAGAAAAATCCTTAAAAAAAAAGGACAAAAAACAACAGGGGGTGGTCAGTGACCCCAGTACTACTGCAGTAGAAAACACAGATGGTATCTGTGGATGTTGAACAAACAAAAATAAGCTTGAGCAGGTGTCTGTGACAGGGATTGGTTAGCAACCCTAGTAGATGTGCATGACTAGAAAATGATTTTGGTTGGTTGGTTGGTTGGTTTTATTTAGCGGCATATCAACCTCTATAGGTTAATGCTGAAATCTAAATACTTTTTAGATCATTTTATTTATTTTTTTTATTTTTTTATTAATAATATTGGTCTTAGTGATACAACTCTTACAAATTAACACATAGCTGGGGGAGAAGAGGTGGAGTACATTTCCCAAAGACATTTCTAATCATCGCTTTTTAAAATTAAACCTGGCCGAGGAGTGAAGGTAGTTAAAATAATAGCAGTGTCAAGAGAAAAAAAAACAAAAAAACATCCTTTTGACACTCTGTTTTTTGTTTTTTTAGGTGAAAACATGAACCCATCTCCTCTCCCAACAGCTATGAATTAAATAGGAGAATAGAATGAATTATCTATCCTTGGATGGCTACCAATCTAGGAGAAAAACAAATTCAAATACCACCAAAGAAGCAATGGAAAAACCAATCCACAAAGGGTAAGTGACTATAATGGATCTAACTGGAATTGGAATTTGGCTGTCCAATTAACAATTTCAAGCTATTATCCATTACACCACCTTCACATCCAAGCTTACAGCACCTGGTATTCCCATGCGAGTTACATGCTAGTGTCAGTGCCATTCATTAAGGATCAAAACTCACAACACAGTAATGGTTTACTTTTATTAGATCAACTCTCTGGACCAGCGATCAGAAATCATTTTTCACTCTTGCACCATTTTTAACATTATAACCAAAGTGGTTACATTCCATCACCACTGATCAGATCCCAAACTACTGCCAGTCACAATGAATGGACGTCTCTTCAAGGAGGCTCCATACTTTGGGAATATTGGGCCTCAAACTCACACACGACCTCAAGTGGAACTCTTGTGTACGATCCATCGCTAAAGATACAGGAAAAATGTTCAGCCCCCTGTACCACTCCAGTAAGT